TTGGCAACCTGACTTTTTGCGTAGTTGGCTTCTTTGTAGTGTCTTAATATGTGAGCTGTGTTTGAACGTTTTCCTGCAGCTGGATGTTCAGAGACACGTGCCTGCTCTCATGTCTCACGGGGTTTGGTTTCATGCTGCAGTTTTTCTCTGAGCAGTAGTAGGTTTGCTCTCCTTTCGCTGGCTGCTGGTTTTCATGACACTTGTAGAAACTTTGTTCCTCTTGGATTTCTGTTTTTAGGTCTCTGGGAGAAAATTGGCCAATGGGTAAAAAGGAGTTGTCTGAGGGGGCATGGAGAGACAGGCACACTGCAGGCAGTTTGCAGGCACATGAGAAGAGAAGCAAATGTTAATCTGAGCTGTGTGTGGTCCTGGGGCTCTCTGAAGTGCACAGGGAGTTGGAATATTCTACTGATCAGTGAAGTTGTGCCCCCATGCAGTTCTCACCTGGGGCTGCAGGTGTGTGTGTGTGCAGTGGGACTCTGATCTGGAGATGAATGCATAAGCTTTAGTATCTTAGGAAAAAGACTGAGAATCTAAAATCAGAACCCTACCTGCTCCTTCTCCACACACAGTTGAAGAGAATCACAGGCACAGAGGAGAAACCCCCTGACAGGGGAGTCTGGCACATGTATGCTCCAGGAGGTTGACTTGTCCTTACCAGCCATCCATTGCCAGCATGTGCAGCTCTTTTTCTCCTGAAAGACTGACACATATTTTATAACCTATCTCCATAGCTGAGTAGCTGAGACTGCAAACAAACAAAAACTCCTTTCTCTGCTTGACAGAGCCCTGAAATGGAAACCGTCTGAGAGGAGGACTCCTCTAAAAGCTATACATATGGCATTCTTCTGTCTCTCCACACCTCTACTTCGTATCTCTGGGACCAGCAAATCTTACCACAATATTAAAGCCTGCTGGCTCAGTTTATCAGATTCAGAGAAGCTCAGGTTCAGACCTATCAGAACAAGATGGATTTTGTTAGCTCTCGGTACACTGAGTTATGACCAGGTTTGATAGAAGCTTCTCTGCTTCGGTGTGCCCCTTGAGCTCTTGCTTGCCAGACTGTGGGACAGCACTTGTAGCAATGGTTAAACCACATCATGGCATGTCATGGGAAGGCAGTGGAATCAGGCAGGTGATTTTTGTTTCCAAATGGTCATAATAGAATATGATTATAGAATTTACAGTCTCCCAATAAAATAACTTCATTATAAACTTTACTTTTATAAAGAGAATGTGTAGAATTTGGTGTCACAGCCTGATCAGGGAAAGCTTGTATTTATTTGGTTATATGAGTATGAGACTTGTGTTGCACTGGATCAAGTCTTTCTTCATGTTAACTGATGCCAGCAAAGAGATTCTTCCTCATGTCTGGTAGGAGCTGCTGGTTATAAAAAAACAAAAAGTGTCACTGGAGAAGACAAAGTTCCATTTAAGAATGGACTATTCCTTGAGTTTTATTGCTTTTCACTGTGTAGCCTTTCTTGTGGTGTTGCTAGCAGCTTGGTTTGCAGGATGGAGGGCAGGATAGAGGGCACAATGAGATGCTGTAAGGTCAACGTACAAGGACATGTGGAACAAATGCCCACATATATGGACTGAGCTTTTCCAGGCTTTGTATATAGCCAGAGTCCATTCCACATTGTAACAGTTTCTGTGCTACCAGCAGTGCAATGAGGTGCAACAATTTCTTTTATGAAAGCATTGTTAATAACACTTTTATTTATGTATACAGGTGTGTGTGTGTGGTTAGAAGAAATCTGCAAATATCGACTTGAAGCTGAAGGCAATAAAAGCCTTCCAAGATGATGAGACTCAAGTGATGGCTTCAATGGAGCAATCTAGAGGAGAACCAGCTAGGCAGGATCAGTTGGCCATAAAAGGCCTAACCAAAGTTAAAGCAGGCATTTGGGGTGTGACTTATTGAAAGGGCCTTTTGCATCACTGAGTCTTTTGTCATATTGATATAACCACAGCATTTCTTCCCCTCCAGTCCTTTAATAATGTGTTTTAAAGGGGATCCTATTCTGACCAGATGACTGGGAGAAAACACAGCACCAGGTTTTGCTTGTAGGGTCAAGCAACTGTAAGGGTATGTGGGCTAGTTAATCTGCACTTAGAAGTCTTTAACTGCAAAGATAAGTAATTAGTAAAGGATAAAAATTCAACTTAAGATGAAAAGCTGAGCCAGAACTGTTCTGTTCCACCTTTGGGTCGCATCTCTTCAAATGTTCAGGCTTGGGTTGCTAAAATTAGGCAGCCAAATTTGTATATGTGTATATATATGTATAATATATATGTGTATATATGTGTATATGTATACATATATGTGTATATATATTATAATTTTTTTTTTTGGCAAATACTTGTTTTCAAATTAGGCAGATTAGTGGTAGGAGTTTAGTGGGTTTGAGTATCGAGCCATACACTGATGATTATAGAAGCTGAAATAGCTAATTGTAGATGCCTACTTTTGGAAAAAATGGTTACCTATGCAAGCTTTCAGTTTCTTCATCTCTAAAACAGAGATAATACTCCCCAGTATGGCCCTTGGGACTTTGTTAGTCTGAATGGATTAACACGAGACAAAAGCTTCAGATTCTTTGGATGGGAAAGTGCTGTAGAAATAGAGTATATTATTGTGATATCCTTTGAGATGTTTCTGTGAAGCCAGTGGTGACTGTCATGATAATAAAGACAGCTTTAGAGAAGCTAACGAAATAATGATCCTACTTCCTTTCTAGCTATTCTTTGAAAGGGCAAATGCAATGAGTGATAATGGTTTAATGAGAAAGAGTCATTAGGGCCTCCAGCCTGCATCTTTAGAAGTGCAAAGCATTTTGGGAGATCTGAAAATGACTCAGAGAACAAAACCAAAGTAGCTCTGTCAGAATATTAAACTGTTATTTGTATTCTCTTTGAATGCTGATTGAAACCAGTGATCTCTTTTCCTGCCTGGTGGTTGGTACATATGTAGTCATGAATGTGGCTTGTTTGGAGCTTTAGTGCTGTTGGAAGAGTGAGATCAAGGAACAACCTCAGTGCTTGCCCTTTGTGTCTTACCCTCTGCTGAGTGCTTAGTGTTACTTGAGGATTCCTCACCTGTTAATTTGCATGTATAGGTGGCCTCGTGTAGTGGAATTAATTGGCCTGGATTATTCAGTTTATTAATCGAGCTGCTTCACGTTCAAGCTTGGCTGGAGGGGGAGAGCTGCTAGGTGTTTTGTATGAAATTGATACCTAAAGAGACAAGAGCTTCAGATTCTTCAGATGGGAAAGTGCTATGGAAATGTGGTAGTATCCTATAATATCCTTTGGGATGTCTCTGTGAAGCCCAGTAAGTATCAATACTTAACTGTAAGCAGAGCTAGTATTAGTATTAGAGCTAAATCAGAACACAAGGAAGTTATTTAAGACTGGAAGCACCCCTAAGTGCTTAGTGTTCAAAGGACAAAATTTGGTTCAACCCATTTAAGGAAAGAACTAGTTTGCAAAGCATTTAGGAATTGTGCTTGAAGGATGCACAGAAGCAAATATGTTGGAACCACCTCAGTGATAAAACAAGCTTTTGACTTCTACTCAGAAACCTGAAAACAGCTATCTGGTTTAGCAAGCATGTTTGGTTTTTTTTTTGATGTTATTCTGGACTCCACTAACAGTAGGGAAACCAGGAGAGCTCAGTGCAGATTCTGACATCACTCAGTTTCTGCAGCCTCTTGAGTGCGAGCCTTAAGATGCTGGGTTCAGTGGTACTTTGTGATGCCAGAAGGGTGACTTGGGCCATTTCTCTGCCACACAGACAAGGAGCAGAGGATTGGTCTTAGGCAGAACCACAAAGCTGCAAACGTTGGTGGCTTGGTAAAGTCAGAAAATCAGAAAATTGGTGGAGCTAGTTACCAGGAAAGCCCCTGAATTGCTGCATGTTCTCTAATCATCTGCTTAGTAAAAAGCGTGTTTAGAGAGGAGGGCAGGGGCCATGAATTGTCATCTTAGTAAAATCATAGGTAGGTCCAGGTAGGCATAGTGTAAGGGGCTTTCCTTGTCCACCCAATAAGGATTGTGTTTATTCTGTCCATATGATGGAAGCTCTGTAGGGTCAGGAGCCAGGCTCTCCCCACTGTTTGCATGCAGTGGGTGGGTGGGCTTTTAATGCAGGTTGTATCACCCCTGCTAAAGCAAGCAGGCGCTAACCCCTCTTCACGTGTGGGATCCTGTACTAGGTAGCTGTTGATATGTTCTGGTGAGAAAAACCTTGTTTGTTAGGAAAAGCAGAGTACAAAAACAGCAGAAAAACAAGCAGGGCAAAGTGAGATTTCAAACATACCCACAAATGAGGAGGAGGAAGCCACAAGAAAACCCTCTGTGACGAAGCAGCCCTTTTCTCCAGTCACGAATGGGTAATGCCACCCCCAGATCATCTGCTCCTCCGGGTGGGATTTGCTAGTGTGAGGGCCTGAATCTGTCTTGGTAACTCAGAAAAATTAAATGCCTGGCACAAAGTAGGATGGGGGTGACTGAGGACTCGAGATGCCAGTTTAAGCACATTTTATCTAGACACGAGTTCAGCTGTTACAATTCTGAGCCACATTTGGATCCCCATCTCCAAGTAAAAAATCAGCCTACTTAAACTGTTGTTGTTGGATTTGGATTCTTCTGTTGGATTTGTCTGAAAAAAGAGTGTGTACTAAGGGTGCTTGCTGAGATCAGAGTCCTCTTGTGTAGACACCATTGGCAGTCTCACACTGGCATATGAGAGCAGAGCCTGCCCCTTCACGGGTGCACCACAGCTTCCCAGGTACATAAGATCAACTGATGCAGAGACAGACCCTGCCCCAAAGGACTCGAGTTCTCTTTTCTGTGGCCCACTGAATGAAACACAGATCTTGAGTTTTAAGGCTAGTACTGTTAAGCTGTAACTTCGAGAATCTCTTCATATGGTCATTTCCTTTCTCTGAGCTTTAATAACCACATAAACTCTTTTTGTTTACTTTCTTCTCCAGGTCAACAGACTATGGCACTACCTATGAAAAGCTAAATGACAAAGTAGGCCTGAAGACTGTGTTGAGCTACCTTTATGTCAGTCCCACTAACAAGAGGAAGGTAAGGGAGAGTCATCGAGCTGGTAGCTATAGAAACAAAATTACAGCATTCTGTTCATTCTGAGAGGAATTATGATCCTGAAGTGAAATCCGTTGGTAATTCACAAGAGCTTGAATTTGCTAAGTTGCACTACTGCAATTCCATGGAGTCCAGTAGAACTATGCCTATTTTACTTGTGATAGGGATGGAGCACCTAATCTTCTGCTAAATGTGTTAAGAGAAATAAAAGGGTTGCTTTTGTTTGCTTCTGACTGTTACAACTTTAAAGAATCTGAACTCACACAAATATTTCTGGGGCTCTTGCTTAAACTTGCTTTGGCTAATACACCTCTCCCTGCCTTCTCTGTCTCATTATTTGAAATACTGTGTAAAAGGCATTTATTTCTGCATTTGACTCTTTTCCCCTTTATTCTTTTCCTAGCTAAGAAGTTGGAGGTAAAGATATAAATGACATTTTCATTGGTTGCATCATATAAGGGGGCTGAAAGCAGTATATGCTTGGGAGAGTGGGTGGGAGACCTACAATTTGATTTGAATGTGTGGGAGAGAAGATGAGGTCATAGCTTTCAAGCCCCTTGCTCATGCTTCCCACATGATGCAATTAAGGCTGCAGCTGGCTCACAGAACACAGCCCAGGAGTTACTATTCACTGCCTTTTTGTTTTAAAATTATTGCCTGTGTTGATTCAGGGGAGGTAGTGGGACTGAGATGCTTTCATCTACCCACACAAATCAATGTGGGAGGGTTGCAGCACATACCTAATTGCTGGCAGTGGAGTTGTGTTTGGATGGGGTGCAGCCCATTTGCCTTGATCACTTCCAAATACCCCTATCCTGTCTCCATCCATAGGTTTCCAAACTGGTATTTTGATACTTGTACTGTTCTTATTACTAGTATTGTGTTTTCCATCATTGGTCAGCCTACAGAAGTTTGGGCAACCTTAAGGCAACCATAGCTCTCCTTACTATCGGCAACAGTATGTGCGTGTTTGGATGCATACAGGAGAGGAAGAATGCAGTAAGGGTTAGCTTATATTTTTTCTGATGCAGAAGCTGAATTATTGTGACAGCTAATTTGACTTCCTTTTGTCCTGAGCAAAATGGAATGAAGATGTTTTACAATGGGCTCTCCTGGCCTTTCACCCCACCCATAGCCAATATTGTAGGCACTGAAGAGTTAACTCTTCTTCATTCTGTTTCCAAAGCAACTCTGCCCACCCAAAATCAGTTACAAATCCTAGTCACTGGTGTAAAGTCTCCCTCACAAATCAGAGTACTAGCACATATCATTATTTTCTAGCAATTTCTGAAGCTATCGAGCTTACAGATTAGCAGTCTTTTCTCTCTTTATTTCCATTAGTAACACCTACATTTCATTATATAGTGGCATGCAGACCTGTCTTTACCTGCTGCTTTCTTATTTCAGATGACAATTTTAACCCCTTTTCTGTTCTTATGTCTTAAAGAAATTATTTCTGGACCTATTTGTGCGTCTTCGCTCTTATTCTCCCTTGCAAAAAGTCTTTTGAAATGGGGAGATGTGCTGTTAGAAAAAAAGATATAGAAAACCAGCCTGAGTGCTGGCTGCTGTGGGAACAACTTGTTTCTATTCTTTCTATCTGTTAAATATATGGACAGTGATGTTGTACATGGTTGTAAAAAGCTGGTTTGTCTGAACCTGGAGCTGACTCTGCTGTGTTGACCATCAAAGTAATTCCAAACAACACTGCAGCATTTGAAAAATGCCCAAAGAAGGTGTCACTGGAATGGAGAACCTGGGATTTGTCCAGTTCAATTTCAGGTTTACTGTCCATGTGCCCCTCCAGATCCATGAGGTTGTGCACTGCAAAAAATACTTGTGTTGTGACTTTCTCCCAGGTCTGTCTGGGTGAATTTTGTTAAAGTGGGCTGCAGAGTAAGCAGCTTGGTTTTGCCGAGCTCCTGAGGACAGCCACCAATAATGAATCACAAAGCAGTAGGTGAATCCGCAGAGACCTTATAGCAGCCTCCCAGTACCTAGAAGGGGCCTACAAGGATTCTGGAGAGGGATTTTTACAGGGGTATGTAGTGATAGGACAAGGGGAAATGGCTTTAAACTGACAAGAGGATAGAGTTATGTTAGACATTAGGAAAAAATTCTTTCCTGTGTTGGTGGTGAGACACTGACGCGGGCTGCCCAGAGAAGCGATAGCTGCCCCATCCCTGGCAGTGTTCAAGGCCGGGCTGGATGGGGTGTGGAGTAAGAGGTGTCCCTGGCCATGGCAGGGGGTTGGAACTGGGCGGTCTTTAAGGACCCTTTCAACCCAAACCATTCTATGATTCTATGATTCCTTGTTTTTCACCTCTGACAGCACAAGTGCTGGCTAACTGAACACAGTTGCAGTGATCTGCAATCCTCAAACATCGGTCTTTGAGGTAATAAACAAGGAGGGATATACCAAAAGTAACAGATGTGCACAGGGCCTGTGCGCACACAGTGGGTCATGCAGACCCTTTCCAAACAAGATATTTTCTCTTGAGGCATTAGCTGCTAGGTACTGATTGGACCCTGCACGCCTTGCAGCTCCTGTCGATTTTTGATGGGTTTGCACACTGTTGCTAACCCTATCTGCTCATTAGTGCTTAGAGGATTAGCAGTTACTTGGAGGAGGAGAAAAGCTTTCCATACATTCATTCCTAATTGATTTACTAGTGAGAAGGATAATTACCTCTCAGCTACCCTGCAGAACTACAGTGGGAATTACCTGTCAGATTTCTTTGAAGACCCAAAATGCCTCTCTTCAGCTGTTAAATAGGAATTATGCATTCAGCCAAATGCCAGTTACATAAACATAATTTACCTGAATTGTGGCGTAACCCTTGGCTCAATTATGAAACAAGAGGATTTAAATGCTTGCTTTCTTAATTCTTTTAAAAGAAAGGCTTTTTGTTTCTGATTTCTTTTTTTGTAAATTTTTGGTGGGAATATTGTAAGTTTTTTTGGCAGCTTCTGCTGTTGTTCCCTGCTTAGCTGTCAGGTCACAGCTGGGCACTGATTTCACAATACCAACATCTCTGCTTATTGCGCTATGGGGGATCAGATGAGGCCAGAGCTGAAATGCACCGCTGGATGCGCATGGCTACAACCCATGGTCTGTCTGCCTCCATCATTCTCCTTCTCTCTTTGTCCCATGAAAGCCACACCTCTTGCACACCTTACCCTCCTGACTTACGGCACCCCAACACTCTTTTCTTACAAACTGGATTCCTTTCTGAAAGAAAAAATGAGTTTAGTGTAAGAATGATATGGTGAAATTCTGGGACACATGCAATGTATGGAAGTCCTATTGGCTCTTTAGGCCTGTAAGTATTTAATTCTTGTTGGGTTTTATTCTTTTCCCAACAAGAGCAGGGCTCTGTATTTACTATACAACACTGACAGCAAAAACCAAGCCCATGCTTAGCCTCCCTCTTTTAAGCTTGTTTAATTTGGATTATGTATCTCATCAATTTTATTAGTTTTATGTTCTCTTTAGGATTCCTTCTAAGCTGTTCCTCTCTGTGTCTCCCATCCCTAGCTGGAAAGCCTCAGCATGGTGTTGAATATTACCTTATTTATATTTGGTGTCTTGTTGAGTACTGAAATGTCTTTCCTGACACAGCTGACTAAGAAACGCTGGAGCACCCTGGAAGCAGCTGCTTCCTCAGTCCTGCCCTTTGTTCCTTAGTGAAACACATTGATTACTAGTATTTATCAGTGGATAAAATCACTGTGGAGAGGTCATGTCATTGTGTCTGAAGAAGGAGAGGTGGCTGAGAGGAGAAGAGGGGAAAAAACACAATCTCTGTTGTTATCATGGTGATAAATCATGGATGGCCTCTGTTCTTCTTGGGCACCTCTTGATGTGGTGGTGTTCAGCACTTAGAAGCCAGATTTAATCTCCGGGTGTTCCTTGTTTTTACGCATTACTGCTGGGAGATATCAACCCTCTGCATGTAAGGAGTTAACCAAGGCTGCGTGGCCGTGGCTGAGCTGAGGGGACTTTGGCTGTCTCCCCATATGGTGCTGGGCAGAGGCTACTGACCCAGACACTGAGTTTGGATCTGAGATAGTGGTGTCCATTTCCTAGAAAACACAAGAAAGTATTTGGAAAACATGCTCCATTGTTGTATAATTTGAGATTTGTATTCATAAATAAATCAGTAGAACAACATGCAAATACCAAAGAAAGATGCTGAGAATACTTTTTCCCGGTTATGATTCCTCTTGCCTCTCACTGCTAATGATCAGGACCATCCTGGTGATCTGAGAGCACCCATCACTTGAAATGAGTCCACCCTGGAGTGCTGGCATAAGGAAACAGTCAAGCAGGCTCCAGCCTATTGTGAATCTGTAGCCTCTGCCTGCATCAGAGCCAAAATGCTTGCTGCCATGCACCAGGACTACTTCCTCCTCCTGCTGAGCAGTTGTACAACTTCTCCCAAGAGAGGAGGATCTCTCCTAAGATGCTCAGGGTTTCACAACATTTTACGACTGTGCCTACAGCCTCTGGTGCTGGAAGCTGAAACTGACAGACTTGTATCCGTTGTCCTGAAGATGCTTGGGCTGTTTCTTCTTTCGCTTGCACTCTAGGGACTTATATTTAGATCAGGAAAATCTTCATTGATTTATCATTAATACTATGAAATTCCAGGTGATCATTAGACCTAGCAGTGTCCTGGGGGCTGTGGCTTTCTTAAGAGTTACTCTTTGGAGCCCTAGAGAAAAGCCAAGTGCCTGCAATTTTGACACTTCTTACCATCATGAAGATGCTTTAGTTGGCAGAGTGTATTCCAGGGCACATCTTCCCCTTCAGTGCATCTGCCCACACAGTTGTTTCCCTGAGAGACTACATGAGAAACACCTGCTTTACCCTGTTCATACATAGGTTGCAACAAGCCTGATAATTCTGTGCTGAACTTCAGAAAGGAGAAACTTTCATATTTGTTTAGTAGCACCCCTTCCTTACAGGTGAAAGGGAC